ATCTATAACCTGGAAAGTACCGGAATTGTCACATAAGCGCATCACGGTTTCGCCGCCTGGCAACGGGGAGTCTTTCTCTCTTGTATTTGATTAATAGACGGCTATTCATCTGTATCCACGGACTCGTGATTTCAAACCCATAGACAAACAAATAGTAGCCCTACATATATATATATATATATATATATAAAACAATTTTTGGTCCAGACAATGATTGTATAGACCATCGAAAGCTCGAGTTCAAGTTATAAGAGAGAGAGAAAGGTATATAACAAAAAATAGGAAAATAGTGGTCAAATTCCGCAAAAAGAAGGAAAGTGGATTCGACCAGAAAATATAATAGGCAAGCCGAGCGATACATGTTCCTGCTGGTTGGCTTCATCAGGCCCGAAGTGAATGCCCATATGCAACTACAAAAGTAGATACATATACCCACACATCCGGATACGGGTGTAACCTGAGGAAACGAAGGTGGAGAGGGTAAAAAACCACACACGAAGCCAACCTACACATTGTAGTATAAAATGGCTAGAAGACCTCGAATTTTCAAGGCGACATCTAACCACAACCACGCGGCCAGTTATAGCCACTTGCTGTGGTACTTCAAACCCAAAGGATCTACAAAGAAAAAATTATCATTGAAAATTCGAGGTCTTCTAGCCATTTTATACTACATTGTGTAGGTTGGCTCTTATTGTGGGCTTCGTGCGTGATTTTTTCCCTCTCCATCTTCGTTTCCTCAGGTTCACCCTAATCCGGATGTGTGGGCATGTGTATCTACTTTTGTAGTTGCATATGTGCATTCATTTCGGGCCTAATGAAGCCAACCAGCAGAAATACGTATCGCTCGGGTTACCTATCCTATTTTCTGCTCGAATCCACTTTCCTCCTTATTGCGGAATTTGCCTACTATTTTCCTATTTTTTGTTATATATACATATATATATATATATATACAGGGTGTCCGCAAAGTTGGGGTTTTCCTTTTCAGAAACAACTACCCTTGAAATAACAAAGGTAATGTGTAGTGAAACGAGGGCGACCAAGTAAAAAAAATAAAGGAAAAAGTACTCACTCTCCAGTTGACGAGAAGGCCTAAGTACGTCTCTGCCCGAAATCATACCGCTCCAACAGAAAATAAAATGAAATCAGCTGATGCGCTACCGAGCAGACACAGGCAAACAAGGAAGGCAAAATATTTCGTAAAAAGTCTAGGTATTGCGTCCCGTCGAATCGATTTGGGAGAATAAATGGTCCAATGAGCACCATGCCAGCCCAAACATTCACCGAAAATGTTTGTTGAAAATGTGCCCGACGGACAGCGTGCGGATTTTCTACTGACCAAACATGAGTGTTGCGAAAGTTATCCACCCCATTACGCGTGAACGTAGATTCGTCTGTCACCAATATGCACTTCAAAAAGTCCGGATTATTGTCATGTTGATGCAACAACCACTCACAAAACCGCACTCTTGCTGGAAAATCGTCAGGTTGAAGGGATTGTACACGTTGGACGTGAAACGGATACAGCGTTTGCCACACTTTAGTTTTTGATACTTGCACTTCTCTAGCCACGTCTCTAGTGCTTGTTGAGGGATTCACGTCTACGCGATTATCTCTACACGCGTGACCGTAACCGTCGGTTGAAGGTTGCATACTGACCTGACACACTGACCCCTACCCAGTTCTGTTGTCGGGTTGAGCTAGTCTCCTAGTACCACTGGGGGATGTCGCGGCTACAGGACGGTATTCAGATATTTTTGATGTTGCAGAGCCCTTTATCTCGGTTCCCTTAAGACATTGGTGTATATGGTACTAAGAAAAATTGCTTATGTTTTCAAGATCTACACGTCGTGTAAAGGAAAACCCCAACTTTGCGGACACCCTGCTAAACTTCGCCTCACTGATGTGTATTCTTAAAGAGACTTATTATGATTTTCTAAGCTTTTTAATTATGTCGACTTCAACAACCTAACCAACAAGATATTGACAATACCCCAAATATATGCCATCACCCCAGTAGTTGGTGTTGGTCGAGTACTAGAAAGTTTAACAGATCCCGCCCAGGGTTGCGGCGTGTAGGCTTTCTGCTTCAAGTCAAATGCAAAAAGCACTACTGCCATGCAGACAAAATTGTTTGATTTTTCGTTTGAATAGCTTTAGGATACTTGCTCCATTGGGAAGGTATTTTTAGGACAATCGATACTGTCAGTGTAGTGAGTGTGTAGAATCCACACCGGTTGCACGATTCACGTTTCCCTCTTTGAGGGAAATTGATTCTCATGTTGCGCGTATCGAATTCACTGGACTGAATGATTCAGGAGTAATCAGTGAGTATGGCGCTTTAAAGCGCAAAAGGACTATAGAGAAAGCTTTGTTTATGGGATTGCGAGAACTGACCGATGAAACAACAGGATCGCTTGCAACAGCAACTACTGTAATCATGTAGTATTTGTAGAGTAAATTCAATTATACAGAAAACGGAGTATCTGGAAAAGATGTTGGGTTTATGTGAGAAGATATACAGGCTAATTTAGAATGTAGTGGCAATATTTTTAAGGTATAAAGAAGATCAGAAAATATCACAAAATGTTCATATAAACAAGCATCGTAAAATGCCCTATTACTGGGTGTTTAACTTATAATTTTGAAATTGAATATATCTTTGGAATGTGTTAAGGTATTGACTTGAAATTTTGCACGTGAAGTGCTAACATCACAACTAAACATACACCAGTAGCCGATTTATGGAGCGAGCGCGGGGGGGGGGGGGGCTAGACGTCTGACACTTGCTTTTGTAATCTAACACCATTGTGTTACTTTCTGATACATCATTGCGACAGAGGCATTCTAACTCTAAGTTATAGCTATAGGAACTGAGCATTGCTATTTTTTTGGTATCCTTAGCAATATTTACAGCCCAGTATTCCTGTTCTTGTTTCGTACAAACATACATTATCAAAATAATTACGATCTAACCGATCTAGTTTTTTTCAGAGATTTAGAACATTTTTACATGCGATCAACACCGATTCAAAAACTGAGGAAACAACAACTATGCCGTGAACGTAAGTTCGACAAAGAAATTCTGAAGAATAACAAACTGTAACATCAAAATTGAATGTCAAAAAATAATTGACTATACCTATTGATATTGTTATCACCTGCTGATATAATAGAAGTACTTGATTGTGTCAGTATTTGAACCAGTTACTTGATTTGCTTAATGGGCAGTTCAAAGACTTAATCCTTAAGCTTAGTACACACTAGTAGACTCCGTTGCGCAAGTTGTCTATAGGCATTCTGGAGACGGTCTCAAGGCACGATTTATATCCGTCTTTGCCTAGTTTAGCGTTCACAGGATAATGTGATTTTTTCGGTCCCATGTTCGTTTTTGCCATCAAGGACATTGTTTTGTGAGGAATGGACCGGGATATGCCTCGGGGTCCCTCGTAATGTTTTTTTTTCGGTTAACAGAGCAATTGAGTTTTTTATGTTTTAATCTTTAATATGATGACACTAGTTCACTAGTTAATTATAAATGCCACATACTTATTTTGTTCTCATATAATACAATGTTGCCTTTCTGCCACTGAAGTTGAAAAATTTCCAGCCCAAAATATCGTTTCCGCCCCCCGCCCCCTAGACGAAATCTTAAATCCGCCTTTGACATGTATAAATGTTTTTGCTCAACACTACACAAGTGGCGTAGAAATTGGTAGATTTTTGCACCTACCGAAGAAAAAACGCTATTAACCTCTACGCCGCTGACTATTTTGGAACATCTTTTGCAGTTTTAAATAACTTAGTTGATTTTACATGAACCGCCCCGCTTGACATACTTTTGTCAGACTAGTAATTTTTGAGCAAAATTGGTTTGACTTGAGGTAAAACCCTTGTAAAAAAGTTCAGCCCGATTTATTATTATTCTTTATTTATCATGTATAGTGGTATTGTTACCAAAAAGGCACAAAATGGGTCAGTCGAGAACTTTAGCGCAACATGTCTTATAATGCGCTTTTTGGGTCGCTAAAACCGGATCATCGGCCCATTCAGTCCGAAAATGCCTCGTTTTTGAGATACTGGCAAGAATTCAACTTTGTCAAAAAATGACTAATAAAAAATATCTAAAAACTGTTGCGCGTCTATGATCGAGATGGGAGCTTGTTTTCTGGGTATATCGGGTGGGTAGATTCTAAATTCGGTGTCATATTCAGCGCCCCAAATTGCCTCATTGAGCAAAGCTTCGCTTCGATGTAGTAATCGATAGCAAAAATGGGTTTTTAGCACCTTAAGGTCGCAGAAAACGCGTAGTTTTGCAATTTTTCGCTAGATAATTAGTTCTAAATGATAAACGGGATCAGATACACGTGGAACGACATCAGATTGGGTATTGGCAGCCCAAAATACGTGGAATAAAGGTAATTTGAACCGCATTTAAAGCATTGTAACATATAATTATCATGTATAGTGGTATTGTTACAAAAAAGGCACAAAATGGGTCAGTCGAGAACGTGAGCGCAACATGTCTTACAATAGAGGAAAGTGACCAAATATGGAATAGTCTCCTTTTATGGAATACGCAATTACTTTCTAAATTATTTGCGCCATCTGCCGTTTTTATGCCCGAAGTGGCGCCCCAAGGTTCAAAACCCATTACAGAAACCTGTAACCGTCGTTAAGTATCTGCAGTCTGTCAAAAACTGAGGTACAGTGAATCGCCGCCTACTAAAGTTTTTGCAGCAGGTTAGTATTTTTTGATATCTAGAGTGTGTTTTGAGCCGAATTCGAAATCTGCGCAATATAATACAATGTAGGATGACGGCTTAGTCTATTGCTAGCCTAATTTTTCCCTTGATAAAAGCCTGTCAGTTCATAACATGATTAACCTCCAAATGCGTGGCGTTCCTAATATGGAATATCAACAAGGTCCAATTATGGAATATATTAGGTGCACTATTTGTTTAAACATAAATAATGGTTTCCGTTTGTATTCAGACATGCCTAAGTCAAGGAAAGGGAAAAAAGAAAATGGAAGAAAATTGTGGGAGAAAGGAAGCATGGAGGAAGCAGTGGCAGCAGTTAGGGATGGTAGAATGGGGTATTTAAAAGCAGCAAAACAATTTAATGTGCCACGAAGCACCCTTTTCCGGTTATGTAAACAACACGGAGAGCCAGTTACGGTGTGTGACACACGGTTAGGACGAAAACCAGTCCTCTCAATCGAGTTAGAAAATGAACTTGCAGATTATTTGCTTGATATGGACAATCGTTTCTTTGGGTTGACTAGAACAGATGTTCGCAGAATGGCATACCAACTTGCAGTTGCGAATGGCATCGAGCACAGATTTTCTGAACACCTCGGGCAAGCAGGGAGGAAATGGTTAAAGGCATTTTTGAAAAGACATTCAAACTTAACACTCAGAAAACCTACCGGGACATCATTCGCCAGAGTAGCAGGATTCAACAAAGCAAATGTTAATGCATTTTTCGATCTTCTGGAAGCCGAAATGGAGAAAGTCCATTATCCTGCAGATAGGGTATTCAATGTTGACGAGACGGGTTTGACGGTGGTACAATCAAGGTGCAGCGAAGTAATTTCTTTAAAGGGTGAGCGCTAACATCCGCTGAACGTTAGTGACGGTTATCATGTGCATGAATGCTGCTGGTACATTTATACCACCAATGATAATATATCCCAGAAAAAATATGAATGTTCAGCTTCAAAAAGGAGCACCTCCAGGCACTCTATTCGCATGCCATCCATCCGGATGGATCCAAACACATTTGTTCATAGAATGGTTTCACCACTTTCTTACTAAAGTGAAACCATCAAGGGATGAACCGGCTCTTCTAATTTTAGATGGGCATAACACACACACTCGAAATTTAGAGTTCTTGCGCTTAGCAAAACAGAATGGGGTAACCATAATATGTCTGCCTCCTCATACCACCCATAAACCGCAGCCATTAGACAAAAGTGTTATGGGTGCACTCAAGGCCCATTACAATGAGGAGGTTCGTGTATTCATGCGAACCTATAAACGTCCCATCACACAGTATGATATCACAGAAATCTTCGACAGTGCCTACCTTAAGATACAGTGTGGTTCCAATGCTGTTAAAGGATTCGAGACGACAGGGCTATATCCGGTCCGCAGGAATAATTTCGACGAATCTGATTTTCTGAAAGCTGCACAAGAAGGCTCTGATGACGAATCTACCGCTGCAGTACCTGAACAATCTGAGACTAACACGGCAACAAATCCCACAGTAATTGAGCAACTGTACGGTAGACCGAATACCCCAGCGGTAGAAACGCACGTGACCCCACATGACATTTTACCACTTCCCAAATTGCAACAAAAAAAAGGGACATGAGGAAGGAAACCCGGTCAGGCCAAAATTATCACGTCTTCTCCCTACCTTAAAGAATTGGAGACATCATTGAACGTTTTTAAGGGAAAAGTTGAAGCAGTCAAACGAAAACTTGGGGCCCCCAAAAAATCTAGGAAAGTTCAACCATGCCCTCAACGTGAAACCGAAAGTATCCTAACTCAGCCAAGCACAAGCGGGCTGCATTTAGTGGCCTCCAAACAGAAGGCGAGGAATAAGAGAAGGTCATCAAGTTCTACTTCTTCAGAAAAATCTGAAGCACTGCATTATCAAGATTCCTCCGGTGATGAACTGACTCAAGAATCTACAGTAGATCCTGACGAGGATGCGATATGCGGATATTGTGATGGGAAATTTTCTGAAGACCAAAGGGGCGAAATTTGGATACAATGCATATTGTGCCTTCAGTGGTTCCACGAACAGTGTTCTGGGGCATACCGAAGCAAATTTGTGTGCGATTTTTGCAAGTAAAATAGCTTCTGTTCCAGTGTAAAATTTCTGAAATGTTTTAAGTTTGTTTAATGTTTGTTATGTAGATAATATTCAGTTCCGTTTTTTTTTTTATTTTATGTTTATCGTTATATAACAGAGTTCTATTTGATGTTTAGTTCTGAAAATATAGCATTTCTATGTCTTTTTTGATGAGAATTTGGTGTATTCCATATTAGGTTCCAAGGTATTCCATATTAAGGACACATTTTTGAAGTCGCCAAGAATGCACCTTAAACAATATTTCAGTTTCTGAACAGGGAAAATGACGTATTTTGGCCAAAAATTGATATGACTTTTTCATTATGCTCCGTTACACCCAACAGTATTGAGAAAACGAAAATTAATTGAACTATGGTCTGAATACAGTCAAAAACAAAAATGGTATTCCATATTTGGTCACTTTCCTCTACGCTTTTTGGGTTGCTGAAACCGAATCCATGTCCCATTCAGTCCGAAAATGTCCCGTTTTTGAGATACTGGCAAGAATTCAACTTTGTCGAAAAAAGACTAATAGAAAGTATCTAAAAACTGTTGCGCGTCTATGATGGAGATGGAAGCTTGTTTTCTGGGTAAATCGAGAGCGTTGATTCCAAATTCGATGTCAATACAGTGCTCGAAATTACGGCTAGCCCGAAAAAATAGTTTCCTGTCAACTTTTCACCCTAAATCCAGTCTGATGACACTTTAGAGTTTTTTCACAATGATATTCCTATTCAGCGCCCCAAATTACCTCATGGAGCAAAGCTTCGCTTCCATGTAGAAATCGATAGTAAAAATGGGTTTTTAGCACCTCAAGGTCGCAGAAAACGCGTAGTTTTGCAATTTTTTGCTAGATAATTAGATCTAAATGATAAACGGGATCAGATACACGTGGAACGACATCGGATTCGGTATTGGCAGCCCAAAATACGTGGAATAAAGGTAATTTGAACCGCATTTAAAGCATTTTAGCATATAATTATCATGTATTGTTACCAAAAAGGCTCAAAACGGGTCAGTCGCGAACGTGAGCGCAACATGTTTTATAATAGGTACCCTTTTGGATCGCTGAAGCCGAATCCATGGCCCATTCAGTCCGAAAATAACTCGTTTTCGAGATACTGGCAAGAATTCAACTTTGTCAAAAAAGTCCGAGACAGCGGATGCAACTGAGAATATTTCTGCCAATGCTTCCTTCAGCCATGCTTCCTCTTCACTGATGTCTCCTCCCCGAAAACGTGACAAGGAGGGACATTTGAATATTCAGGCAAAAGAAATTGCCCTTATCGTTTATAAGAGCAAAATTTTAGAGCATCCCGAAATAAAAATTCATGATATTGAAAGACGTATGCCGAACAAGACAGACATATCCTGAGACAATTTTTAACAATGTTAAGAAATTGTCTCCGCCAGACAAGAAGCTGCATTACACGAAGCTGTTGGATACAACTGATAACTTTGATCGGAATACCATCAGACGCAAAGTTCATCAATTTTTTGAAAGGCAGGAACTTCCCACCATAGACAAAACATTACAGGAGGTTGATAGAGACGAAGACTAACCAACTTTCAAAAGGACCACTTTCTATAGTTTAGTCAAAGAACTTCATTTTTAGTATAGAAAACTGGACAGAAATAGTATTTTGAGGGACAGCCAAGATATTATTTGATGAAAAAGTAATTATTTAAAATCAATAAACCTGGATAAATACAGGACATAAAAAACCTAAACTATGGGCTGATTCTACAAGTGACGACAAGTCTTCTTAAATGGACTAACCACTAGCCTAAAGAATCCGTCAGGTACGTGTATGTAACTAATTCGTAATTTGTGTTGTAAAAATGATGTCAAGTAGACTGAATCTATGAGCCTACGATGAAAACTTAGCTGCACTAAATTTAGCTATATCTGTTAGATTTAGAACCAACACCTGTTAGATACCCTGCTTGTATTATTATTAGTTTTCTTGAATACTATATGAAATAATTATTAGCAGGAAAAGGAAAACGATTTGTTATCTGTCACATTGGCAGTGAAGATGGCCTTGTATCCACTGCTCTATGGGCATTTGAGTCAAAGAAAACGGCTGACTACCATGAAGTAATGGACAGGAGTTCATTAGGACGATGGTTTGAAGAAACGCTTTCAGAGCTTGACGACAATGCCGTCATTGTACTTGATAATACTGGATACCACACTAGAAAACTAGGAAAAGTTCCTACAATGTACACAAGAAAGGCAGAAATTCAGCAATGACTCCTGTCAAAAGACATTAGTTTTAATGAAAATATGGTAAAAGCAGAACTTATCCATCTAGTCAGGCAGCACAAATATAAATATACTCTTAATGTTATTGACGCAATGGCTAAAAACCAAAATAAGACCATTTTAAGGCTACCCCCTTATCACTTCGAATTAAATCCCATTGCAATGATTTGGGCACATATAAAAAACTATATGGCTTCAAACAATAGAACATTCAAATTTTCTGACGTGAGAAATTTTTTTTATGAAGCTGTCAACAGAGTGACAGCAAGACATTGGAAAGATTTCATCCGTCTCGTTCCAGAGACAATCTAAACAAAAATGTGAGATCTGGACAATAAGTGCGATATTCCAATTCAACCTGTAATAATTAATATTAACCATTCAGCGAATAAAGAATTGTGAAAAGTATGTGCACTTCTTTCTATAAAAATAATCATTTACTTTGTTAGATTATTCCAAGACCATTGAGGAAAATACGGACCTGTACAATCTCGCTTTTGGGCATGCTGTATTTTGTCTGCGCGTAAATGGACTACGAATGGGGTATATAATAGCTAGTCGCTAGCCTTCGCCACGCGAATTCGCTGTGAACGCCATCCGTGGAGGACTGACACAACGACATAAATATAGAACTGACAGCTTAACGGCGCTCTCACAGTCAAGCAGAGTTTCTGAGGGGAATCGGGGGGGTGATAGGGAAACGCTAGTAGGACGGCGTTGTGACAAGGCAAGCGCTCTACGTTAGAAAAGGATAGTAATACGCAGAGGTGTGCTGTTCGTGTGCCTGGTTGAATTTGCATATTGCACAGAGTCGGATTTGATTTGGATATACGATCTAGCGTACGACTGTTTCCCTATTTTGGCGCATAGTATACTCAGCCCTTATTACTCTTATTACCGTTATTGTATTGTTGTATTATCGTGTTGTTATTATTGTGTTGTTATTGTTGTGCTGTTATTGTTGAGTGTCTTTCTTATCAAGGTATCAAAAATGAACAATAAGAGAAATAAACGTGGCGTCTCGAAGAAGCCGCATTTAAATACGCACAGGAAAAAAAAACGTTTTCCAGATAGAAAAGTAGGTACCAAAACAATTATGAATTTTAGCATTCATTTTGCCAATAAATTAGACTATACGTAGTTACTATTATAACTATATTTTATATATTATTTTAGCTTAAAAATGACAGCAAGGTTTCGCATATGCATTCTCTAACAGAGACAGATGGCATGGATCTTCAAATTCAGGTGTGTATACCCTTTTTTTTTAGATTTGCACCAGAGGCTGGTATCATTTCTGGCAATTCTGATTAAAAATGCAGTAAGTTTACTTCATGACGTCGATAATAGTATTGTAGAGCAGTTTAACTCAATCATAGCTAAATTCATTGGGGGTAAACGGATTAATTATTGCAAGAAGAGATCCTACCAAGGAAGATGTGCTGCAGCCGTAGTGAGCCACAATACACAGCGACCTGTTTGTGTGATCCAAAAGCGGCTACTCCCTAGTTTCAGTCCAACCTCTTTGATTGCTAAAGTTGAAGAAAGGAGAGCGCACAAAAATCTGAAAAGGAAGCTGAAACCAAGGAAAATTAAAATCGGAGATAGTGATACTAAAGAGAACGCATCCTATGGGGAATTCTGTGAGAAGCCTGACATGAGCAACGAAGATATAGAGGCTGCCAAGGTAGAATTCTTGAAAAAACTTGCAAAAACCGACTCCAAAATTTCCCAGATCGAGCAAGCCACAAAATCTCAGGATTGCAATTTGTGGCGTCTTCATCGAAGAATGAGGTTGACTGCGTCTCGGTTTGGTGAGGTTTGTAGAAGAAGAGATACAACAAGTTGCAGAGCTCTAGTAAACGCCATAATATACCCAACCGAATTCTTGAGCAATGCATGTGACTATGGAAAAAAGCATGAAAGCGTGGCAAAATCAGAAATAGAGAAATCATATTCGCAATCAGAAGTACAATCTTGCGGGTTGTTTATTGATAGGACCCATCCATTTCTGGCAGCATCGCCAGATGGTTTGATAGGCGAAAAAGGTCTGCTAGAAATTAAATGTCCATGGTCGGCTAGAGAAATGACCCCTGAAGAGGGCATTCTGAACAAAAAAATTACGTTTTGGATAAACGATGAAATAAATAAAAAACATAAGTGGTATTACCAAATTCAAGGGCAGCTACACGTTGCACAAAGAGTACTGTGTGCTTGGTGTTTGGACCCCATATGGTTTGAAAATAGACGTCATTCGAAAGGATGACGTTTTCTGGAAAAATGAAATGGAAGAGAAATTGAAATTCTTCTACATGAACTGCTTGCTCCCAGAACTGGTCGATCCCAGAAAAAGCAGAAATATGCCAATCCGCGATCCCGATGTGATCTTGAAGGCACAAGAGAACCGTTTTGAACAAGAAAAAGAGTTCTTGAGAATTGGCTATTTTTGCTGTACTCGGGTACCAAAATGGAAGAGATTAGCATATTACATTGTACGCCGTTACTAACCCCTTCGTGTCGGCAAATGCGGTGTGCAGATCTCGCTTTAGCAGCGATGTGCGAGATGTTATGCTAATCTCTTCCATTTTGGTACTGGTACCAGATGTTCACTATTTATTGTATATTATGTATATATTGTTTATTTAAATAAAAGTCAATCGTCAGGCTCAATAGCACGTAGCATCGGCTAGCTTTATCTAGTCTGTTAGATGGCGAATATTGAAATGTCACATTGACACGTTAAGCGCCACAGTAGAATCTGAAAATCCAGTCCACTGGGCCAAACTGTTATTATTGTCAAATTAGCTTGTTTTAAGTTTCGGTTTAATATTTTGACTTGACTTTTTTCTCAAATCCTATGATTTTTCCCCTTTTTTGATATTTTTTTCTGAGGTACTAATTGTATGTCGCGTGGCCCACAGACCAGTCGGGTCGCGTGGCACATAAGTCGCGTCGCGTTTTTTGCAAGTCAAGACTTGCATCATGTCGCGCGTTGAGCACTGTTTCGTGTCATTTATTATTGAAGCGTTGTTGGTATTGTACGTCATCTTGTCCAAATTGCTTTACTGTTTATAAATTATTGAATACCAAATTTGTGATGTCGCATTACGAAGCGGAGCAAAAAAGGCTTGAACAATTGTGTAATGAAATACTATCGGATGAAGAGAGTGGCAGTACTGAGTTATGTGTGGATGTATACTTATCTGATGCGTATTCTCCAAGTGGTAGTGAATCAGATAGTAGTTGTAGTAATTCCATATTTATCTGTATTACTGTTTATTTATAGCGGTATTTTGTTTATTCCTGCATAAGACTTTGTCAATCTGTTTAGTTTATAAGAGTTCCTCCATATTTGTGTTCGTTAGAATATCGACATTTACCATAACTTACTGATTTGCTGTGAAATTACTTTGTTCATTTTTGAATGAGAATGTCTGATTATTTTATAAGATTTGCTTTTTGTTTTAGATTTGTAGAATATCCTCTTTTTGTAAAACTCTATAAACAACGTGTTTTTTAATGATTTCCAATTCAGTATAATTTGGTCCCTTAGGCCACGGACTCTTGGTTCCCGTAAGAAAATCACATCAGCATGGCACACGTCTTACGTTACGCGGCCAAATATAACTGCCAGCAGTGAGACATATCATGTGTGTCACGAGGCCCAAAGCGCCAAATGAGGTGCGACACACGCATTATATCTCATGACGCTTATCGTGTTAAGTTTATTTTACGATACTCCATAAGGTTAAAGCTAAACAGCAAGTGACATTTTATTTGTGGTAAATGCGTTCACTATAATTATTATTTTTAACTAAAAAGATTACCGCCTCCAATGACCCTGGAACCACCTGGAAACTTTTGGTCACAAAGTTCTGTATTTTACCACACATGTCAAGTCTTTTCATTTGACATGTAAATTGGGGGTTTTGTACAAAAATATGTAACTCGCAATTTCGAAACGGCGGCAATCTTGGAATCAAATTTTTAGTTTTATTCTACAAGGCGACGACTCTTATTTGAGATATTAGCAAGTATGTTATCCGCCATTTTGTAACGGCCGCCATCTTGATTTGAAACTGTTTTCGTATTACTGTTTTGTACAAGTGCTTCCATTTGATATCCATATTGGGGTGATTGAACAAAAATGATTTAATGGTCCGATGTTTATCTCGAACGACCGACGTTAAAACTGCTACTGTTTAACTTGGGACAACAAATTATCTGAATACGTCCTTTCTTAGTCCGTACACACCGCCGCGTTGCTTCGACTGGCAGCACGAGATAGTGGATAAAATTCGTGTAAAAGCCTATTTGCAGAGGTTTTCGCCCTTCAAAATTGACGCTCCATTTTTGAATATTTTTCAATGAAATTTTCACAGTGCACTAAAAACAAGACTCCACAGGGTGCTATAGAGCCACTTTTTCGTTTTTTCCTCTGGGTTATTTTTAAAAAAATCGAGAAGTCGAACAACAATTATCTGCACTTCCACCCACCATATCTCCTGAAAAAAATTTTTTTTAGAAAAGTGGCTCTATAGCACCCTGGACAATTGTCTTCTGAACATACTGCATAAATTTTATTCAAATATATAGATAGATAAATGGAGCGTCAATTCCGAAGCAGCTAAACCCTTGTAAATGGCCTGAAACTCACTGCGTCGGAGCCGCCTTAATCCATAGCAGCTATGAGTGGCCTCCGTTAGTGCCATGTTACGTCACATCACAGCCACAGCTCATAACTCAAGTATCTTGATGTTTAGACAACACATTCAGCATGGGTTAGGTAAGGAACTATTTATGTAAATCAAAGTATGTTAAAAACTAGTATTTAATTGAAAACAATCACCTGTTCGCACACATTCCTCAGTTAGGCATAAGGTCCGCTTTTCATCTGAAATAAGAAGATACAGTTTAAAGAAATAAAAATTTAGACTAATTTTTTGCTATAAGGATCTCTAAAATAACTTAAAGCGTATACACCAACGAATTCGCACTAGGTATAAGAAGCAAGCCTATGATTTGTTTGTAACCAAAATCGCCTAGTCTGTAGTCAGAATGGAAGTGGGCTTGACGTAAGTTAATTGTCTGATAGTTCTGTCATTATGTTTAGCGTTATTTTTCAAAAGTGCTAGTGTTTGCAGATAATTCTGGTGTTCGACGATTTCGGGGCATGGTACAAAGAGCAGCACCAGCCTAATGAAGATAGATCTTTCCACCAAGTATTATGTTGATACAACGTTGTTACTTTGGTAGGCAATGGTAGTCAAATGAGTCAAAAGTATGCATTAAAACTACGCAATGTTTGGGACAAACAATGTGTGAACATATAGTTTTGGCTTGGCTCCTTCCAATCTATACGATTTCGTTGGTATACACCAATAAATTTGAAGATTTTCTTTCTTTGAAATCTGTGCTCCACAGAACAAAAGTGTATCGTTTTAATTCGCTTTAACTGTACTCTAACACTGATCCTGAGCGCCTGTAGTGTAGAGCCAGGGGGTGGGGAGGCGCGGTTCTTCTTGTGAATCCGGTTTGCCGTGTACAGTGTTGAGGATTTAGGATTTGCGCTCCAGAGAAAAGTTGCCACCCTCAACTGTTCAAAAAGTTTTGGAGGCTGATGATACACTTCTCACCAACAATAATTACCTCCAGCCGATGAGGCCCCACTCCCCTGGGAAACATTCCTGTGGGCACCCACGACACTGATAATCTTTTCACTATTTAGCTTTATTGTCGACACATCTATGGCACTCGTCGACATGTCCGCATCCAACTACTTACATCAAACGCATTAACTTCTGGTAGTGCGTTAATTCTATCCGTGTGTCCACATCAATTAGATAGCCGGCGCTGAGGCATTTTTAATCTTATTTTCAGCGCAACATTCGTATTTGCGTGACTGACATGATGAAATGAATCCATGTGATCTGTGCCATCGATGGTGTTGAACACATTAATTGTCATTCCGTATAATGCTATCAGCACGCATTGGAAAAATAGCGTATTCCAGAAATCCTATTCGGATTACCTGTTATCCATCCGATACGGACCGGGGACGGTATTAGTATTTAATATTCACAGTGTCAAAGAAAATAGAGCACCCAGTCAAAATGACTTTATTTGAATGAAATTTAGTATAGAGTAAAACATTATCAAGAGAAAGTAGCGTTTGAAATGGAAACATTTGTTGCTGGACATACTTCAGACGAGGGGATGTATGTTTTATTGAGGTAACTCATCCCAAGCTATAGCCCATCTACCGAAGAAAGAAAGTGAACCCGAACATAGTCACGCATACTGCATGCACCGCTGTGACCTATCCCATTACGTGGTTTGGCATTGGTCCTATACAATTTGTTTGGTCACGACATGCCGATATTTAAGGGGGGTATTTTACAGCTAGTTTTATCGACAAATCCACCCCTCTACAATGTTCTACCTCACCCCTCTTGAAATGGCAGCTATTTTTATGTTTACGTTACGATTACGCTAGTAAGCGATTATTGAAAAACTTGTGCTGATACTAACCGTCAAACTTACTTAAAACCACACTAAAATGGAAAAAAATATGCAAGAAAACTGATTATTTTGTACATATCCGCAAATCATTCAAAAACTAGTTCTACGGCTAACTATGCTATCTACAATATGACACCAAATTTGTTATCCTAAGACTTCTACGTTAAGTAATAAATGCTATCTGACATGGGTCAAAGTATACATAAAAATGACAAATCAATGTTTCTTATAAATAGTTTGGACATGTTTAATGTTACAAAAGCTGTTCAAAATGTCCTCTATTATTGGTTATGCACATTGTTGTTCTTAAAACAATGTGTCGTGTTGAGCAGCAGGTCATATCCGTGTCAGCTCTAATTTCGCAGCAGTATGGATCCTTTCCACGAGCTCTTCCCGTATCGTCGACACATGACAGTGAACTTTTTGCTTCATTGTGCCCCAGAAAAAATAATCTAGGGGCGTTAAATCAGGTGATCGGGGTAGCCAAGTGACAGTGCCTTCACGTCCTATCCATGGAGAATATTGCCTATCTAAATGGCAGATCATGGAGTAAATCTGCAAGTCCAAAGAACCTTAGAAGTAGCTCAACTGGGCCGGCTAAGACTCCGCCGATCATTCCGGCCCACATGTTTACATTAAATTCCTGTTGGAAAGTGCACGGTCGAACTGCATGAGGGTTTTTCGATGACGACAAATGGTCGATTCTATGGTTTATGGCCCCTGCCTGGTAAAGTTTGCTTCGTCCGTCCATAGAATGTTTTCCCAGAAGTTGCAGTCCTGTCGCAGCTGCCGTTAAAACCAGGAGCAAAATATGATTCTTGTTGCTTAATCTGGCTCATGAAGATCCTGAACTCTTCGAAAATGGTAAGTAAACAAAAACCATATCAGCAAACATGGTGATTTGAAAATTCATTACGTGGACGATTTGGCATGTTAGAAACTTACGTACGACTAATAAAATGTCCAGTCACAAGTCACGTCCAACTCAAATATTTTCAGAAAATTGATATTGAAACTAGTCAGCAATGGTAACAAAATGAATATATGTATGATTACAACGCGTGGCGAGGGACTACACTCTCTATGATATTGACAACAAATAACCGGTTGTTACCATCTCGATGTATTCAGGTAATTATTAAATGTACCACCATTTTGTAGTAGGTAAAGGTATTAACTTTATATTCTAGGGTTATAAAGAACTCGTCAGGAGCTTTTTCACTCTATAATTAAATTTCTACTTCCTCTTGCTTATGTCTAACTGAGTACAAAATTTTATTTAAATAACATTACTTTTACTTGGTCAAATTCAAGATTCAACCTTGTTTTACATTTGACTGTACAACCGTGTAGTAAATTGTCGTAAGAAAAATAATGCAAAACAAAAAAACAGCAAAAGCACAAATCAAAAAACAAATGGCATGAAACAAGATATACGAAAGAAACAGTCATAGTGAACAGATTAGATAGCTAACAACGTGTTTGTAATTTGTCCTGAAAAAATACATCAATGGTATAATATCTTTACATGAAATTGTTAGGTGATTATAAACTCCTATTCCCATGAAGTTTGGTGCATTAAACTGACATTTAGCCTTGCTATAGAGATATTTTTTCATAGGTGGAAATACTGATTTCATAAATATAGAGACAGGCAAGAGTAAAAATGTTGGGATTCTTAAGCACCAACCTACACAAGGTTGTGTTTGTGATACCAGCAATAACCCTAATAATCTTTTTTTGACATATAAGCTGAATCTACATCGGCCGATGCTAGGATGGCCCAGCTATCAAGAATACTACCAAATATAGGAGGTCCAAGTAGCCCTAAAAGGACGGTCCTTTGTGAGGTAATCCACTCCGTGGTCCTATACGCAGCTCCTGTATGGCACCGTGTGGTCCAAGTCCAGAGATATAGACAAATGCTCTTGAGTATCCAGAGGAAGGCTTTGCTGCGGATATCGAGCGGCTACAGAACAATGTCCACTATGGCCGCTCAAGTAATAGCTGGAATACCCCCAGTCACTCTGCTCATAGAGGAAAGGCTCCGAATGTACAGCAGGGATGATGCTAAGCTTCGTACTGCCAGGTTGCTGGAAAGAAGCACAACTTTGGAGAAATGGCAGCGTGTGTGGAGCGACCACTCAGAGACGGCAAAGTTGTGCAAGACTCTGATCCCGGACGTAAGACAGTGGGTTAGCTGTAAACATCGAAGGCTAGACTTCTACTTGACCCAGTTTCTATCGGGCCATGGATACTTTGGGGATTACACCAAAATAATGGGAATCACGGAAGGCAGTATCTGCGGTTATTGCGGAGAGGAGGACTCCCCGGAGCACACAATCTTTGTGTGTCAAAGATGGGCCGCATGGAGAAGCAATACAGAGTCAGTTATCGGTGCGGAGGTCAATAGCAGAAGCATCACCATACTCATGATGAAAAGTAAGGAGAACTGGAACACAATACAGAGGTTCGTTCGTAATGTGATGAACGCAAAGCGCAGTGCCGACATCTTGCACTAGCAGAAGAAACGAGCATATCCGCTGCGAATAGTGCGAATGCATCTGAAGACATGCCGCAACAAGTGGTGCTACCGGATGTAGTCGCGAGCCAGAGGAGGTGGTTTAGTGGGTAGTCAGTCTACTAGAATGTAGCTGGAGTCCCACACTCCCATGCGCGCTGGAACCACGGCGTATGGGGTCCGTAAAATGGATTCCACCTCCCGGTCCCCCTAGGACCACTAAAAAAAAAAAACATCGGCCGATGACCCCAAACATAGATTCCATACCTTAGTCTGCTATCAATTAAAGTATAGTACAGGCAAATGGTTGAAGAGGTTGAAGTGCGATTCCCATGTCTCATTGCATTCATCAGAGAGAATACCAACTAACTTAAGCTATATTTGCTCTTCTGATATTTCCATTGCAATCAATTAAAAGGACATTAAAATGGTGTCGGAGAATTTTGTATTGAATTATTTCAGTTTTTTCTTGGTGTAGGTATAAGTAGCTACTAGCGAAATAATGTGTTAACGAAACCATAAGCTGGGAACATTTTTCGTCAATCGGCATATATGTGTTATTTGATGTAATGAAGGAAAAGTAATCAGAAAATTTGTTTTGATTCATGGACATATGGTAAAGAAAGGATGGGACTTGAAATATATCCCTAAAGAACGGCCCTTATTTATCTCTAAGCGAGTAGATTTTACCTGAACGTTATAAGTATGTTCTTTCGCATGTTTTATGGATACAAATTAGCATGGGTCACCTTAGAAGCTATTTAACTAATTCAAGCCATTACCACGCTCACTCATCGTGTAAAATTTACCCTCATTAAGATTCTCAATAATATAATTGTAATACAAGGCAGATATTGGATTTACCCTCTCGGAAATTATGTTTCTCATCCGTCAGCACGTCGAGCTTATTTAAGAAGTCAAGTAACCTAGTCAATAAGGCATATTCAAAAGCTTTATTTAGGCTATATGATACAGTAATATAATGAATAATAACTTTCCATTCTGTTCTATTTACTTTGTCATTGAGAATAGCGAATATTTCTACGCGTGCGATGCGGACATGTAGACACATAGCATTATTCTACTAGTATACTCACCTGTACAAGAAAAGTGTCGCTTGGTAAACACGGTTATAATCAACATACCGCAAAACATAACCAATGCTAAAATCACTGCTAAAAGGAGTTTTTCTTTGTTCAGTTTTTTCTTGGGCACCATCAACGTCCTTGTGCCATTTTTAGTTACTTGCACTATGGCACTTTTTGGAGTCACTGTGTTGATAATTTCACATTGCGCGGTATTGTTTATATATCCGTTCTTAGCACTCATTTGAAGTTTTATCACAGCCTTTTTGATTTTGGTTTTGTTACATTTTTGTGATGACCTTAGAAAATATTAGTTTAAGATTCATATGAAAGGTGTATTCAAACCACAGCGCTCATCGCGCCAGTAATCATACAGACTGCCATCATCTCCAAGATATTTGGAAAAACTGCTGCTAAAGCCAGTACAAACGTATCCCAGATTACCAGTTCGGATTTAGAACTAAGCATTTTACCATCGACCAAGGGCATCGCATCACAGACATCATATTTTCGGCTCCAGAGGGAAAACGATTTTGCAATTCACTATTCCAGGATTTCGCCAAGCATTCGACAAAGTCTGACACGAGTGACTTATTACAAAAATAAGCAGGCAGTACGTCGAGGTAATTAGGTCATATATCTCAAACAGGGAATATGATTATTCTGATCTGCTGAATATCAATGCTGGAGTACCTCAGGGCAGTATTCAAGGTCCAGTTCTGTATAAATCACATATTCCTTCATGAGCAATGTAATAGTTGCAGCATCTGCGGATGATACAGCATTGACTGTAACGGACAAAAATCTATTACATTACATTAGAAGTACAATAATTAGAGAATGGATCCAGAGGTGGAAAATCAAATTGATCGAATTGAACTCGATACCATTGGAGTCAAACCACAGGACACCAGGATCTAGTGGAAGCACCATATTAAAAAAAAAACAAGAGGGAATAACTGAACTTCCGCTACTGACAATATTATTGGTTATTGGGTAAATCCTCAAGGATATCACTCCATAACAAAATCGTGATTTGTAATGAGATCTTAGGGCCAGTGTGGCTCTTTAGTTACCAACTATGGGGCTATTCTAAGAGTTACGACATCGAAATGATTTAAAGATTCCAAAACAAAGTTCTAAGGAACAAGGGGTACACCTCAATGCTTTTCAGCTGCTGGACAACTCTAATACCGTCCGACGATTTTGTGTGAGTTTTGTGCGTGAGCTCCAAGTTGTAGTATTAATTAAACGTTAATATTATCTAAATGACATCAATGGATTGCCTCTAGTGATAAGTATTAGTTGTAATAAGATAAAAAATTATATACAGGGTGGCGCATCGAAAACGAATTTGCACGCATTTGCTGGCAGCTCAGTTTTTTTTTGGAAAAAAGGTTAGACCCGTCGATTTTGTTTTCGAGGGGGACACAAGTTTGGCAAAAAATCACGTTACCACGTGCAGCCCCCTAAGCGGGAGTGACACCACCCCCAAGGAGTAATTTGAAGGCACTCATTCACAATTCTTTGTCGCAGGTCTTCTAATGATTTTGGCTTAATAGCATAGATTTTGCTTCTTAAATGACCCCACATAAAGAAACCCAAAGGTGATAAATCCATTCAATGGCACCTCTTCTACCAATCCATCGATCTGGAAATGTCTGATCTAAATATTGTCGAACACGTAATGCGTAATGTGGTGGGGCACCATCCTGTTGGAACATCAACCTATTCGCAATGTACCGCCGATCATTCTGATTTTCAATTATGGCTGTTAATGCAGGATCTATGGCGTCTTCCAGTAATTCCAAATACATTTCACCGGTCAAATTTCCAGGTAAGAAAAAAGTACCAACTAAATGATCGCCAAAAATACCAGCCCAAACATTTAATTTTTGTGGCTGCTGTGTATGAACCTCATGATAAATTCTGGGATTAGAATCGGACCAATATCGGCAGTTATGACGATTTACTACGCCATTTAAGAAAAAGGAATATTTGTCGGAAAAGCAAGTGTTGAATAGAAAATGTTCATCGTTTATAATTTGTTCACTCATATCTTCACAAAATTGTAATCGCCGATCAAAATCGTCTTCATTAAGTTCTTGTGCCAGGTGAATTTTATACGGATGAAAACTATGGGCCTTTAGAATCCGTTGGACAGTACGTCGACTAACACCACACACAGTCTCCAATTTGCGGGTAGGATCTACATAAACTTGCCCTAAAAGCCCCACTTCTATTGCTTGGTTCCTTATGGGATTTTCAATGTTTGCGTTTTTTATTGGCGACTGACCCAGTTTCCCGAAATTTAGCTACAAGTTCTAGAACATATTTTCGATGCACGTTATAATATTTCTGCTGTTCTATTAGCGGACTGATTATTTTCGAAATAGATTTCGATAATTTCAACTCTTTCTGCTGTGGAATATACCATGGTTAATTTATGTAATAAAGCGTTACAGGTTATTTTAGCAACAAAGTTTGGTCAAATCAATCGCAAACTATGTACTAAATTCCTATTTAAAATAAGTATAGATATTTCCTTATCTTTCTTCAAGATATAACTTTTTACTTCAAAAAAAAAAAACGCTCCAATAGCTATTTTCAACAACAAAACGATAAACAAACCATGGGCGTAGTGAAGAAAAGCATTTACTTATTAAGTAAATTCTTTTAGTCAAATTTCTTCTGAAAGTAGTACAAACTAATCTGATGTACCTATTAAAGTCTACTTTAAGCTGTAAATCAATAAATCTTCATAACTACTGAACTCATGTATTTTACATCATTATAAAAGGAATTGAAAGACCTTTAAAAAATGGTATCACTCGACCCCCCCTTTCCATTTAAGATTTTAGGGTTGGTGTCACCCCCGCCCAGGGGGCTGCACGTGTTAACGTGATTTTTTCCAAACTTGTGTCCCTCTCGAAAACAAAATCGACGGGTCTGAGCGTTTTAAAAAAAAACTGAAATTCAAAGTTTCACAACAATACCAGTGTTCTCACTACAGTGAATTTTTAAGTGTCACCAAGTCATTAGAAAAATGGAACTCAACCGAGAACATTTTCGCGCCATAATTTATTACAACTTTCAGAGACAATTATCGCAACAAGAATGCCTTGCTGAGTTACTGTCTGTTTTCGGCAACGAAGCGCCACATCAGTCGACAATTATTACCCGTTGGTATGGAGAATTCAAACGTGGACGTAGCGACGATTCCAGGGTGAGTGCATCAAAAACGGCAGTCACATCGATGCAAACTCATCATTGAAGATAGACATGTGACATATCGCGAGATTGAGGCGTCCTCGAAAAAATTTTACATGAAGAATTAGGAGTAAGAAAATTAGTTTCTCGTTGGATACCCCACCTGTTGACTAACGAGCAGAAAGCAGCCAGGGTTAATTGGTGTCAAAAACGCTTGACCGTTTCAATTCCGGAAGCTCAAAAAATGTGTACAGCATTATTGCGATGAATTGTGGATTTACTGTTATCAACCAGAAAATAAACGACAGTCGGCTGTTTGGGTGTTTCAAGGTGAAGAAAAGCGAACAAAAGTCATCCGTTCTCGAAGTGTTTCGAAAAGTCGCGACATTTGTGTCAAAAGCGGGTCATATTGCAACAATTCCTCTTAATGAGCAAATAACTGTTACTGCGGATTGGTATACCACCATTTGTTTGCCAAAAGTCATCACCCAGCTTCGAAAAATCAACCCCGAAAGAAGAATCATCCTCCACCAAGACAATGCAAGCTCGCACACAGCCCAAAGAACAAGGCAGTATTTAACGGAAGAAAACGTGGAATTATTGGACCATCCTCCATATAGTCCCGATCTAAGTCCTAACGATTTGTTTACTTTCCCGAAAATTAAAAACAGACTGCGTGGTCAAAGGTTCCAGTCACCAGAAGACGCATTCAAAAATGCCGTTTTGGATCTGCCAGCAATTCTAAAAGCATCGTCAAACTTTCATTGACTCTGGATTGGAGTGAAGCACATCTTACTGTGAAAGATATAAAAACAAAATGTATCATTCGATTATATGGTGGAAGAGTTTCACCAGATAAAAACATTTACTATCTATGAAAAAACGATGCAATAAGTGCATATAGATGCACTACTATGTTTAAATTTCTCTGTAATGTAAAAAAAAACGATGAGTGAAATATCCCAGAACCAGTTTTCCATTATGGTCGAAGCCTATTTAGAGAAAATTAGATCTGATCAATTTAAATTGAAACCTATTAGCTCCCAGCATCGATTAACGTATTCCACCTGATGGAAGCTCCCAGTCACAAATCGTGAAAAAGTCAATTACTCTGTGTCCTCAAAACGCCTCGATTGGAAAAGTTAATAGGATTCAAAGATGTAGATGATTAAATTTTGATACCACTTTCATTAAAGTATTGCAAACAGTAATTTTAAGATTATGTGAATTAAATGCCGATGGTGGTACATTATGAATAATTAATCAGAATTTTCATCAAACACGTGAAGCTCGGTGCTAGTGTGATAAAAATGATAGCTCTATCAAGCCAACCATGTCACTACCAATCGGCTCGCAGCTACTACAACTTGCTTACACTGTCTCTTTATTGGTTGAAAGAGCTGCTATCACAGTCTCAAATGCATCTCATGCACGCACTCTCCTAAAACTGTCTAAAACCTCAGAATCATTACAGAAAAGAGTTTGGATGAAAGCAAACAGTATTTCATGATCTACAGTTTTGACGGCTTTTCTTAGAAAGATAATTTTAAAGATGGGGCAAATAAAGCAATTACACTTTGTAGCTATTGACTGTCGCAGCATTAACCATACTTTCTGATAAACTGTTACAAGTGAAGGTTTCCCTTCTGTAACTGTATCAATCAAATTCTCGAAGTTTTGGGGCCAAGTCGTAGAAATTCGGCAACTTTGAGTATTGCTCGTACGGGTTTAAGACAAGTTAAATCAAAGCATTTGTCAAAAATGGTGGCAATTTCAGCCGCAAATTGCAGACGAGTGTTCGAAACTTTGAGGCGTCTTTTGAAACAGTGTTCTCGTCCATCTCGTCGCCTGTCTCACGAAGGGTCCTAACTGACAAAATAGCAAACATTGAGATAACCCGCATATAGATGTATTATTCCATGCCGGTTAATCTGACTTAGGGCATAACTATATATCTATTAGTATAGGTAACAAATCATTAACCCCTGGGTGTCTTATCTGTCAAGGTAAATGTATAATTCCCACGAAGAGACCTAAAGTGTATCTAACGAAGCTACAAAGTAATCGTAAACAGTGGTTGATTCGTGATCAACGCGTAATCGGTAGCCATGGCGCTCTGTCGGCCTCTTCCTGATTGGCTTGTAGCGACGAGCCTCCAGACAAAGTCGCACGGTTGCCACGCTCGGCGAGTTTTCGCCAGAGTGGTTGATCACATTCGCATGGATCACAAATCAATCTGTTGGTGCAATACGTGCAATAACTGTTGTAAAGGACATTATATAACAATAAATGGCATCACAAAGGTATATTCCAATTTGATCTGCAGCAAATTATGAACGGCATATACGGAGATGCGAAAACAAGCTCAAAAAGGTGAAGAAAATTTTTGTGCAATCTTTATAGTTAAATTTTTCCTAAGAGATAGCATCAGTGAGGGAATTTTTTTCTATTGTCTTATTTTTCACATTAATGCGATGTCGAGGTATGTGGCCCTATCGCAATTGAAAATAAGGTTTCGATAATCCTTCCATAAAGTTTCGATGAGTACATCTGAAATAACCTTGAGATATTCTTCAGGGAAATACAAAAATCTCCTTTTGTGTTTTTTGTGCAGATTTATCTATTAAAATCCTATCCGCAATCTATTTTCCGTGCACACACCTTCAACCGAATGTATGCCATATATGATATTACCGTTTCCAACTTTCACCAAGGTTAATAGGAACCATAACAGCTCCCTACCCTTCCCCCCTATAAGAATATCGATTTGTAGCCTCACATTTCAAGGTTAGACTTCTTGTAATGTTTCTGTTCAACATTCGGCGATTTCTGACAATTTTCCCAATAAAACATGATCATTGTGACATTAAGCCTGGCAACGCTGCATAGTAGAGGGAACTCTCAGCGTCACGTTGATGGTTCGTCACCACGCACAGGATTGTAGTCAGTTACGGATACCCGTTTATGAGCGCGAACGTTTTATGCACGTCTTGACTTGATTTTTCTTGCGGAAATGTAATATTAGTCTAAAATGTCTGACACAGATACAGCTGATGAAGTGGTTGAAATCAGCTTAACGCCACCCAGCAAAAGGGCTAAAAAGCTTCATCTTAGCGCAGGTGAAAAACAAATTATTCTAAATATCTACAAGAACCAGATGCAAGAGAATAGTGGATTGGCTATAGAAAATATTGTATGTAAGGTTGCTGAAATTTCTGGAGTAGGTCGATCAAGTGTTTACAAAATCTTGAAGGAATATAGACAAAATCACTCACTATCTGAGCCAAAAACATATCCAGCGAGAAAAAAAATCATCGAAAAAATAGATGACTTTGACAAAAGTGCCATTAGAAGAAAAGTACATCACTTTTTCTTCAGGAATGAAATACCTACAATAGATAAAATATTGAAGCAAGTGAATCATGATGAGGACCTGCCAAATTTTAAAAGATCTACGTTCCATAAGCTGTTGAAAGAACTAGACTTTCGATTTTTGAAAAGAGGAAGGAATAGTTTATTGATAGAAAAGGAGGAAATTGTTATCTGGAGGAGAGAATACCTTAGAAAAAATAGGCAATTCCGCGCTGAAGGAAGAAAAATTTATTATTTAGACGAAACATGGGTGAACGCGGGGCATACGCAGGGAAAGGTTTGGGTAGACAGATCTGTGAGGTCCTCAAGGCAGGCTTTTTTAGATGGCCTTTCGACGGGATTGAAAAATCCTGCAGGTAAGTTTCGAAGTATAATCAATGATTTGGAAGCTCCGAACTCAGTTTTGCTATCTCATCCAAGTTTCTGAGTATTTCCTTCACCCAAAAACTAATCTAAGACCCTATCCTACACTAACCTAAAAAGAGTAAGTTGCTTAATTTCGTTATTTAGTGCGCTCGCTGAGAAGTAAAATAACTAATTACTTTCAGGCAAGGGAAAACGCCTGATCATTTGCCACATAGGTAGCGTAGATGGATTTGTTCCTGAAGCATTGTGGGCATTTGAATCCAAAAAAACTGGAGACTATCACGAAGAAATGGATGGTAACTCATTTGAAAATTGGTTCAAAAAAATTTTGCCGACACTTGATGATAACGCAATTATTGTGATGGATAATGCCCCGTACCACTCCAGAAAATTGGAAAAAATTCCAACAATGGCCACCAAAAAGGCAGACATTCAACAGGGGCTTGTCTCAAAGAAGATCGACTTCGACCAAACAATGGTCAAAGCTGAGCTGATAAATATAGTCAAGCGACATAAGTATAAATATGATTTAAAAATTGTTGACGAAATGGCCAAAAACCAAAATAAAACGATTCTCAGGCTGCCTCCCTATCACTGCGAACTGAATCCTATCGAGTTGATTTGGGCCGACATCAAGCAATACGTGGCGTCAAATAACAGCACTTTTAAGTTTTCTGACCTTAAAAAACTGTTTGATGTTGCTGTCGATAGAATTACGCCAGCAAAATGGAGCACATGTATTGACCATGTCCAAGAGAAGGTTGAAACCAAAATGTGGGATATGGACAATATCATTGACACCCAAGTTGAACCCCTTATAATTGACATCAACAATTCTGATGATTCAAGCTCCTCGGAATACAGCTTATAAATCGATTGATACCATTAAGACTGGCAGTTTAACGCGCTTTTTGGCAAGACAGGTAAGTTCATTATAGACTGCAATCAAAGAGTAAGTTTCTAGTTATTAATGTGGAAATTCCAAATTTATAATTACACAAAATCAGGGTTAATTTAGGAGTTCCAAAGCATAATAGTGCCATTTTGACCTTCTTCCTATTTCTCATGTAAATTTTAATAGCAATCAAACTAACAAACTTTATGGAGTCTGTAATAAACTTTTGTACTACTACTACTACGTCTGTAGTTTCTATTTGCTCAAAAAAATTTGCTCTGCATTGTGAATAGAAGGTTTATTTGTAAATCTTATTGGGTATATATGTAAGTTAATAATAAAATATGAACAATTTCAATTGAGATGGTCCACAAGTTTTTTTCGTGTACGTTTTAGTAACATTTTGCTGAAATGGTGAATACAGAATTTTTTGCACTGATTCCTAATGTCGAAATATGATTAGAAAGGCGTGGTATATTCCTGATAATTTACTATGCCTTTGATAGAATTTACAGCAACACATATCTTGTACGACATTTTTTGATAGATCAGTCACAATAGCTTGATACGGCCCTGTAGCGTCTCCTACGGTTAAGTTCTTGATCACGTGCAATACGGGTGTATATGTTTGATTCTACTTTGTTTCTTCGATGGATACAGTTTAAACGAGGATAGGTCTCTTAGTATGCTATAATCGTTGCTAGTATACGCACCTCGGTGGCCGAATCATGGCTAAAGTGAAGGGAGACTCTGCCCACAGTGCAATTCATACTGCGGTAAAGGGAGCAGGAGATATTTTTGAAGTCTCACAATTCTATTCGGTTTTTCGATTGGCCAGAAGACGTCAACCTTATTTAGTAATCCCAATGAATATTTTGACTTCAAGGAACTTTCAAAACATTTGAGAATGTTGTCTACAAGCCAAACTGAGAAAGGGCAAAATATAAAATGGACGGGTATTATGGACTTTATGGTAATAAAAGACATGCCCACCAAAATATGTTTCAAGTCTAGCCACCATGATACTAGTTACGACAGTATTGAGTTAAAAAGACCGTTGAGAAATAGTAATAATATAAATGATATTAAACTACAACAACTTAATAAGGAACCAGCAAAAATAACAAAAAAGAAATACTCCGACAAAATTTCCTTATGTGAAAATGCAACACCCGTTGTACGCTTACCATAATGCCAACACTTTTTTAGAAATTTGCCCCATGAAACGGAATGAAATGAGTATTAAAACTGTTGCCTTTGTTTTTATGTGTATCATAACACATAAAAATTAGCTGGTAATATGTCAAACGATAATGTTTAAGTTAGTTGTTTTTCTTTTCGTTTTTATTTCAATAAAAATTGCTTTGACGTTTCGAGTTGTGTTCTTCATCTCATCACCTAATATTTGTGTCATGATCTACATCAATTTTAGGCTTGGACATTCAGAGAAATGTTGTAGAAGGTATCCAAAATTCTAAAGTCGATCTGAACTTTTTTACAAAAATTCTGCTGTCAGCAGACCAACGATTACTTAAAAAATTATCAATCAACACATTTTTTGAGATAATCGCCCCTTTGGCTGTAAATATGATTCTTTGCTTATAAGTAAATGAAATAAATTCTGTATATCTGTAATAATAAGAACTTTAATAAAAGTATATTTTAGCCCTATGTAACAAAAAGCTTCTGAAAATTGTCACGAAGTGACCTACGTGCGTTTTCCATTTTGTTCCAAAATAACTTGATAAGCTAGCGTAAATATTGAAACAGCATATGATCGACAATGAATATGGGCTGATGCACTGACATGTTCAATTCAGAAATATCTAAATTTTACATACAATGCTCATTCAACAATACCCTGATTTCGTTTTCTTGCTCTCCTGTAAAACTTACTAAACGTTGGTTAGGACACTTCGTGAGAAAACCGACGATCTGGACAGCTTAGGGATGTTATATTCAATAAATATATTGAAAATGGCCTTTCATATTATGAAGCTTAGTAAACTATTTTAAGTATACCGTGCTTTTATTTAGTATGCCTTCAAAGTGAATTTTATCCTTGTATAACCCCTTGTTGGAGGTGCCACCAATGGCCAAATGTGCTGTAACCCTCAGAACAGTTAACATGTCATTCTGAGTATTTTCTCTCACAAAGACACCAATAAGCGGCTAGCGATTGACGTCGTACAGTTTCTTTCCTTCTATTGTCTCTTGTGTATCATTTCCACAATGTATCCCTGAAGAGTTGTTACTCTCCACTCTGTATGATGGCGTGCTTCGATTTCCATTACGACTGCAATTTCCATGAAATTGCGCGCACCAGCTACGCTGCTTGATGGGAATATAAAGCGGTTAGCGCTACTAACGTCATTATATCTAAATTAAAATCTCTAACCGCTATCCCGCTCAAACATAATACCTATACAATTTCAAAGCGACATTTTTCGCTCGATTAAGCTATGTTTGTGTAACGTATAGATAGCGTCAGTTTGATAAAACATGTTCTACCCGTTCTCATTGCTGTGAACCAGTTTTTTTCCAAGGTACTATGTATTCTGTTTAGGAGTAAGGGTGATCAATCAAGACCACAGCCCCCATGTTCGTTATTCTCAGAGGACACTACAGTATATTCAGATAAGAGATAGACCGGATGTAAACAAAAGGTTCGGGTGATTTTCACGCCAACGCCGCCGTCTCGACGTAAAACAGGAGCCCTCATTGGTCAATTCGCAATTAAATGTCTATGCCGAGCGGCAGAGCAGTCGTATCAAGGCAGAGTCACATTCAGGTTCAGACGTGTTACGTATGTCGTGTGCATCATTGCAATTTGATATTTCTTTGGACGTTTTCGTTTGTTATCTTATTAAGTTGTTGAGTTTGTCGTTGTTATTTTTATACCTTGTTATTGATTGTTATTGTTATCAACTGCTTGCGCAAAATGCCCAGTAGTACAGATACTGCCGATGAAGTTGTAAACTCCTGTAGTCCACCTAGGAAACGCTCTAAAAAAAAGACACCTGAGTGCAGAAATGAAAGAGGTCATTTTGAATATATATAAGATCGAGCGCGAGGAGAACGAGGCATCAACCATCAAAGAAATTGTTGTGAAGGTTTCTCACAAAGTTGGGGTGTGTCGCGCATCAGTGTTTAATGTGTTAAGACAATACAAAAAAAATCACACCTTTTCTGAGCCAATGACCAGTAAACATCGCAAAAGTATTGTTAAATCATTGGATGAAGCTGATAAGCATGCGATTAGGAGGAAAGTGCATGAATTCTTCTTTAGGAATGAAATAGAAATACCTACTATAGATAAAGTACTGCAGGAGGTAAATGGAGATACAACGTTGCCAAATTTCAAACGATCAACTTTCCATGCGTTACTGAAGCATTTAAATTTCAAATGGAAAAAACGGGGTCGTAATAGTTTACTACTGGATAGAGAAGAAATTGTGCTATGGAGGAGGGATTATTTAACAAAAATTGGGAAATATAGAAATCAAAACAGGAAGGTTTATTACCTAGATGAAACGTGGGTAAACGCAGGACACACTACAAGTAAAGTATGGGTTGATGATTCTGTAACTTCATCCAGGAGGGCCTTTCTAGATGGACTGTCCACCGGATTAAAAAATCCAGCAGGTAAATACGAGTAATAGACAACAATCGGATGTTTTTCAAACCTTGGGAACAAGGTTCTAAACATTAATTCCAGGGGGCAGATAAAACATATTACAAGTAACAAAACTTTTATAACTTTCGATAAAATGCGTGGATGTTTAATTGTCATTTTCATTTGTTAGAACTTTTTTAAGCCATGTTTTTATGTGTGTTCGATATTTCAATAATTTTTTAATATAATCTTAAAATATGTCGAATATTATAAACTTAAAAAAAGTTACTAAGTTTTATATTGTGTACCGTTCCTAATATTTCTAATCATTTTAATTCATACTTTAAGCTTTATAAAGTTATAATTTGTTAATTTTAATATTTGCGCGTATTTCAGGTTCCTGATCATTCATTTTTTAAAGGTTTATAACTTTAAATTAAATTGTGAAGCGCTGGGTAATCATACGACGTTCAATATTCTTTCTTTCAATATGACTAAATAATCCCAATTATAGCAATCTGATACTCATGTCTCAATGTTTTTTCGCTGAATGTGATGAAAACATTTGAAAAATGTTCGCTTATTGAAATAAATCTACACCAGTTAGTACTTCGATTTCCAGGTAAAGGGAAAAGGCTCATTATCTGCCATATTGGCAGTGAGGATGGATTTGTTGTTGACGGTCTGTGGTGCTTTGAGTCTAATAAAACTGGAGAATACCACGAGGAAATGAATGGCGAATCGTTTGAGCAGTGGTTTTCAAAAATTTTACCGAACTTAGAGGAAAACGCAGTAATTGTGTTGGATAATGCGCCTTATCATTCTCGAAGAATGGAGAAGGTCCCAACAACGGCTTCAAGGAAAGTTGATGTTCAAAATTGGCTCCGCTCGAAAAATATCAACTTTGAAGAAGCAATGCTGAAAGTACAATTATTAAGAATTGTCAAGGATAACAAGGCGGAATATCAAAAATACGCCATTGACGAAATGGCAGCAAGTCAAAATAAAACTGTGCTCCGTTTACCTCCATACCATTGCGAGCTCAATCCCATTGAGCTCATATGGGCAGAGGTTAAAAATTATATAGCTAAGCACAATACAACTTTTAAATTTTGTGACCTCAAAGGACTTTTCAAAGAAGCACTAGAATTAATAACAGCGCAAAAATGGGAGAACTGTATTAAGCACGTGAAAGACAAAGTTGAAAAGAGAATGTGGGAACTGGACAATATTTTAGAGGAACAAGTCGAGTCATTCATTATTGACGTTGGTGCTTCAGGCCGTAGCGATGATGAAAGCTCATCAAGCTCATCTTTCCAATAAAAGATGTCGTTCATCAAATTCGGTAAGTTATAAGTAA